TCAACAACAGCATCTTGTACACCCAAACTACAAAGCACAAAATATTGAAGAATGATACAATGCATACATCACTTCATCTGTGCATACAAACCTTTGTCCTTTCCAGCCTTCACCGGAGTAAGCATCAATTAAGTTCTGCTCATATTTTATTCGGTGGAGTAAATATCTTAGATGGGCCCTTATTCTTGAAAATTCGTTTACAGGGATGTTTCTTCTCTGCTTCTTCTTTCTCCTTTTTCGTCTGTATGCTTCAGTAGCAGCATCTTCCACCACATCTTTTTTCTCAGACTCTTTAGATTTCTCTTGTGACCTTGAGCGAAGAACTCTAGCAGTAACCGGAATGGTCGAAGTAGATTTCCTCTTCCTGGATTCGAAAGGAGTTCTTTTATCAAGAACTGACTCTCCACCAGCATTTACTGCACCTTTTTGTGTTGATTCTGTTTGCTGAGGATCAACATGCATGGATGCATCCTGAGGTTCTGATCCAAGACTGGCAAAAGCAGGAACCACTGCCACATTTTCACATGGGGATACTGAAATCTGTATGTATTCCTCGAGACCAGTAAGGTCAGGTGCTGCTATCTCTGTTTCTGTCAGTCTGTTATCAACATTGTCATCCCCTACAACTTGCTTCTGCTCCAATGGCTCAGCATTGGCACTTTCAGGCAAATACTGAATGTTATGCAATCTGAAGGACTCGAAATCTGAATTGTTGGTTAAACCATCTACTGTTTTCAAAATTTCCACACTATTAGCATTTGATTTTCTGATGCCTGTTTCTTCTGGACCTATATGTGCATCTTTGACCATCTCACATTTCTGAATCACCGACTCAGTGCATCGATTTCCAGAAACAAATCCATTACCAAGTTCCAATGCACGTTGCTCCGGGCTTAAGTGGCTCTCAGACAAGCTGCTTTCTCGTACTACATCCATGTTCATGATCTCATAGGTTGAAATAGAGGAATAAAAAGTTGCTAATATTGTCCTGAGATGTAAGTAAGTAATCACTCTTTGCTTCTCAAGGATTCCAATAATAAGTGCACAAAGACGATAGATGTGTTTGGATAAGAGAATATTTCGCATAATTTTTTGCCAAAAATACTGTAGCACTTTTTTGACGTCATGTACATTAGATAAAAAGGTGGTTGAAAGATGTGTCTATGATACAAGCAAATAAATTTGTGCAAATAACAAATTATCCAAACAAAACCTGTTTGTCATACAGCAATGAGCTCCATACACCTAAAAGTAACATGACAGGAAAATTCAGTAGTTAAATTTGACCCGACCCAATAACTGACGATTATTATTCATTCAGTCATTATCTGTGCAGTTTGTCAGAAAGGAAAATGACTGAAAAGGCAAATAATTCAAGACAATGTATGACTCCGGAATCCACATGGCTAAGGCCCTGTTTGATCAAGTCAGTACTTAAACTTAATGGATTCATATCTTAACATGTAAACGTGTTTGATAACCAACGATAGAACATCTTAATTAATTAAGTGGGTATGAATTGTGTAGGCAAAACTTCAAAAAAAAGTGATAAACTATTCACTTATCACTTAATGCAGAATGCACTCATATATTAGGATTTCTGTATTTAGAATTCAACAACTTAACAAATTCAGATTTCAGATTTTAGTTTTATCAAATGCACTCTCTAAGTTGGAATAACAGTCCATTTTGTTTCACAACAACAAACAGTATTTTGTTTTCTTTGTTATCAACAGAAATCAAGATTCAAAGGATCTTAGATTCTCAGGTTTGCACACTAGATTACAAAAGCTTTAGGAAGGGAACTACAGCAGTCCTAGATGGACACGAATTGGTAAGAACTTCAAGGAGATCAGAGTGCATGGACGGATAATCATCCATGTACAAGGTAAAGAAAAAGATATCTATCATTTAAAGCCCATAGCCCTATGTTACCAATCCCTCTATGCCAAAATGATTCCAACTTCCCATGGAAGAAATTAAGATTTTCGGTGATAGTGCCCTAATTGAAAACTTTATCCCCAACTGAATGCCCGTGAAATGACTATTGTGCACAGCAATTAGGGCTATGTGATGATGCGTAATGCATGAAGCACACTCTCTTGGAGGTGTTACTAACACCAATCCTAGTATCATTCCACCATGAAGTAAGATTAGACTGTGGGACCACATCAAGAAGATTTCAATTACTGTAGAAGGGTATATCTTGGAAAGAGCATTTTCTTTTCCAATTAGGGTAATGATACCAATTTTGGCAGAAAGCAAAAATGGAAACATGACACTATCAATGGGAAAGAGTCAAGTAATCTACGTCTAATCTATGTCATTAGCTCACTATTAACTGGATTAGATAGAAGCTTTCCCACCGTTTACTAAGAAAGCGCTGTAGGGCGATGGGCCTTTTCGCTCCTTGCCAGGTTACCTTAGCAAAGAAGTGAGATGATATTTCCAGTATACATAGGCAGATCCGCTCCAAACATTTCAAGCAGATTTTTCATCACATTTGCATTTCAGACTGAATTGCGTAAATACAGGTTCTTCTTTCAATTTTATTGAAACAACCATCTCTCTTTACCAGTGTAGAGGCATGGCCTTAGGACCTATACCAGACAAAGCACACTGGATACAATTTGCCCAAACAAAAGTGTTATCTACTGCTCTGAGTTTTGAAAGCTCAAATACTCAGAATTAAACGTCTTAGAAGATATCATGGTATATCTTACATGCAGACCAATACTGAGGTTGATTTACAATATCAAGTGAGCATCCAATATTCAATATAAAGTGTTTCAAATGGTTAGGAAATTATAAACCAAGAGAACTCTGACAGAATAGAAACTGAAACTCCGAGATGATTTACAGTCTCCTTTCCAAGCAGCTTGGGAGTGACTTATAGAACTGCACTGCAGTTGTGACACAAGGTCAAGGCAAACCTCTCAAGAGGCTTATTAGCTTGAAATGCCAGTGACATCCAAATTGACGCGTTATCCTCTTGTTTTGGAGTTGATCTTTTTGGCCCAAGATATAACAAAAACAGTCGCAGAACATTACCAATTTTGAAAGACAAACAGATCTCAAAAGTAAAGATCATCTACCATCCACATTTTAACTAGTAGTATTATTTTGCTGAAGCAGACACAATTGACTATTACCTCCATTTCTATGACGTCGATGTGTTGAATTACTTTCATGCTGGTACCAAGTTTTTTTCTTTTTTACTTTGGCTGCAAACTAGAGTTTTATTCCTGGAGCCTGGGCAACCGGAAACAAGCTTCTTTACCATATAATGTCAGTCAGGGCCTGAAAATTTGATCTGAACATCCTTTTCTTACCCTATATATTGCAGTCCCTTCTCATTTCATCATCAAACCAATTACAACAGCGTCCAAGTCCTTGAGAAGTTCTCAAATTTCAACTATACTTCCGTCCCAAAAGGGAAAAGAAAAAGACTTGCCAACCCAACAAATGACAGAAAGATTCTAGAATTGAAAACCAAAGAACTTGAATAACAACGAATTTTAGCATATCTGATACATCCATGCGCAGCATTGCTATAAAAAATTATTCTAAAACTCTAAACCCGGGCAACAACGTAAAGTATTCAACTAGTAATTTCTTCTAACTCCAAAACTATAAATAAAAAAAAAAAACAAACAAACAAAGTCGGCGACGAAGAAAGGAAAAAACAGATATCGTAAACTCTTTTCTTCGTTTTTTTTTCAGGTTCTAAAACAGCAAATTTATCAGGATATGAGCTGAAATTTCCAATCTACACATTCTGAGAACTGTACTTACAATACATTCTGCGAGGGGAGGGAGAATGAGGTATACCTGAAGCAAAAGACGGCGAAAGAGAAAAGGAGGAGGAAGAAGCGAGAGAATCAGTGGAGTCAGATCAAGTGTAGGAGAAGTCTAGGGTTTTCTTGAGGAAGCGTCGGAGAGAGAAGATGATTTAGTAGTTAACGTGATGGACAGCAGCAAGAAAAAGAAAAGCTGTTGGGGATTGGCGGTTTCGGAGGCATTCTCTCGTCACCGCCGATATATTGCAGTAGTAGTTAAAAAAGATGAAAAGAAGAGCGGTCAGCTTATTATCGCCCTCTGCGCCAGGTGGGCATCTACGTTCCCCCCGGAGAGAGAGAGAGAGAGAGAGAGAGTCTAGTGGTGGCAGGGCCAAGTGAATTTAGCAAAGCACCAGCATGTTCAGCAATACAGCTCAAAGAGAGTGTGAAATTCCTTGATTTCGCCGCTATTTTGCGAGATTCCGGGTTTGTATTGGCAAAGCCGGTTTTGCTGAATCTTTGGATGGGAGAGGTCCTCGCTCCACAGCCCTGTCCTGATGTCATTGTTTTCTGATACTTCCAGAAGCAAGTTCCTTTTGGGCCTCGCATGTTCTTGCACTCTATATTTGGGTCTCGTAGAACCTGCAAAACACTATTCAACAACGGGCCTGCAATTGAGTTATGGGCTCTCATGTGGAATTAACATCCCACCTTCATTGCTTCGTACCTTGTTGGGCTCTTAACCCCACTCTAAATCCAGCAAACACGTCGTACAAGTGGGCTTAACAATTATGGGCATCAAATTTTTTTGTTTATTCGTTTTACACTTTTAGAATGTTTGGGCCTGCCAAGTGGGAAATCTCGATCTGTATGTGCCAATGATTAAGGTATATTCACTGTCCATGCTACTAACACGTTGTACAGGGCCCTTTCTAACTTATTACTGTAAGGTCTTTTATGCTCCAAGGAAATTTTCAAACATTATTTTGTATGTTTCACACGATATAAAAATTAATATAATCATATAATTTCAATTATACAATTTAAAAGTTCAAAATTTAGCAGTAATTTTAGTCACAAGGTCAGCTTTTATAAGGATGGGAGCCAAAAAAATAGTAAAAGCAAAGTTATTAAGCATATATGTGAGAACTTTGAAAATTTCCAAATACTGATGTATTTAATTATTTCTACATATGGATTGCCACCGAATGTTTTATGTGCAGAATGGCTTAAACACGAGGATGGCTTATGACTACAAAAGCTGCATGGGGTTGAAAATTAAGCCACGTCAAGGAGATGGGCTACTGTTTTATTCACTGTTTCCAAATGGAACTATTGACAAGGTAGAGTTTCATCTTTCCTTAAAAACCTTCTTTTGTGCCAGGATTTGGTCCAGTGATACCATTGAACTTCTTTTTCTGGGGCACATAGAGATTGAAAATATAAAAAGCATGTACATTAGATAAAGATTGAATGCTGTGGTTTGATTTTCATCTCCAGCATTTCTTCAAATTCACCTGCACTAAATAAGACACTGCCATTTTTAAGCCTTGATTCCAGTACCTTAATTCATAGATTGCCTGTATGACGGATAGAAACTTAAACCTAAATCTATGATACCAAGAAGAACTTGAATCCTTCACCATAGTCCATAGATCCATCCATTTGGTTGTCATACTACTGTAGACTTCAGTCTTTCGACTGATCATTTAAATAATAATAATAATAATAATAGGTCTTAGCACTCCCCGTTCTGAACTTTTGTTGTGCTATCTTGCAGACATCTCTCCATGGAAGCTGCCCTGTGATCAAAGGGGGAAAATGGGTGGCTACAAAATGGATCAGGGATCAAGTACTTGACGACTGATTCATGCAATTCACAAAAGGACACCGTGATTAACTTCTGTTCCCATAATTCCCCAGAAATTTTAGGAAACGTCTTTTAGAGACCACCCCTTTCGCTTTTTTTTTTTTTTTTTTTTTTGGGGTGGGAAAAACAGGTCATTGAACTTGGATGAGGATACCATATTTGCTTTGTGAAAAGCTCTAAAAATTATTATTGTTTTTGTCCATCTAACCTTCTTAAACCCCCCCAAAAACGAATCTGGTTTAACGCTGGCCAACAAAAATTAATGTATAAGCTTCTTTACCATATAATGTCAGTCAGGGCCTGAAAATTTGATCTGAACATCCTTTTCTTACCCTATATATTGCAGTCCCTTCTCATTTCATCATCAAACCAATTACAACAGCGTCCAAGTCCTTGAGAAGTTCTCAAATTTGAACTATACCTCCGTCCCAAAAGGGAAAAGAAAAAGACTTGCCAACCCAACAAATGACAGAAAGATTCTAGAATTGAAAACCAAAGAACTTGAATAACAACGAATTTTAGCATATCTGATACGTCCATGCACAGCATTGCTATAAAAAATTATTCTAAAACTCTAAACCCGGGCAACAACGTAAAGTATTCAACTAGTAATTTCTTCTAGCTCCAAAATTAAAAAAAAAAAAAAAAAACAAACAAACAAACAAACAAAGTCGGCGACGAAGAAAAAAAAAACAGATATCTTAAACTCTTTTCTTCGTTTTTTTTTCAGGTTCTAAAACAGCAAATTTATCAGGATATGAGCTGAAATTTCCAATCTACACATTCTGAGAACTGTACTTACAATACATTCTGCGAGGGGAGGGAGAATGAGGTATACCTGAAGCAAAAGACGGCGAAAGAGAAAAGGAAGAGGAAGAAGCTAGAGAATCAGTGGAGTCAGATCAAGTGTAGGAGAAGTCTAGGGTTTTCTGGAGGAAGCGTCGGAGAGAGAAGATGATTTAGTAGTTAACGTGATGGACAGCAGCAAGAGAAAGAAAAGCTGTTGGGGATTGGCGGTTTCGGAGGCATTCTCTCGTCACCGCCGATATATTGCAGTAGTAGTTAAAAAAGATGAAAAGAAGAGCGGTCAGCTTATTATCGCCCTCTGCGCCAGGTGGGCATCTACGTTCCCCCCGGAGAGAGAGAGAGGGTCTAGTGGTGGCAGGGCCAAGTGAATTTAGCAAAGCACCAGCACGATCAGCAATACAGCTCAAAGGGAGTGTGAAATTCCTTGATTTCGCCGCTATTTTGCGAGATTCCGGGTTTGTATTGGCAAAGCCGGTTTTGCTGAATCTTTGGATGGGAGAGGTCCTCGCTCCTCAGCCCTGTCCTGATGTCATTATTATTGTTTTCTGATACTTCCAGAAGCAAGTTCCTTTTGGGCCTCGCATGTTCTTGCACTCTATATTTGGGTCTCGTAGAACCTACAAAACAGTATTCAACAACGGGCCTGCAATTGAGTTATGGGCTCTCATGTGGAATTAACATCCCGCCTTCATTACCTGGTACGTTGTTGGACGCTTAACCCCACTCGAAATCCAGCAAACACGTCGTACAAGTGGGCTTAACAATTATGGGCATCAAAATTTTTTGTTTGTTCTTTTTACACTTTTAGAATGTTTGGGCCTGCCAAGTGGGAGTGCGAGTGATTAAGGTATACTCGCTGTCTATGCTACTAACACGGTGTACAGGGCCCTTTCTAACTTATTACTGTGAGGTCCAAGGAAATTTTCAAACATTATTTTGTACGTTTCACACTATATAAAAACTAATATTATCATATAATTTCAATTATACAATTTAAAAGTTCAAAATTTAGCAGTAAATTTAGTCACAGGTCAGCTTTTATAAGGATGGTGGGAGCAAAAAAAATAGTAAAAGCAAAGTTATTAAGCATATATGTGAGAACATTGAAAATTTCCAAATACTGATGTATTTAATTATTTCTATTTAAATTTAATTTTGAGATAATATATGGAACTCAATACGCTAATAACTAATAATAGAGAATTTACCCTAAATTCCAGGTAAGTAGTGTGTGTGTGTGGAAATGATAACATAATAGATATATAATTAATGTCCACTAACTAAATATGCAACATAATTGATATGAAAGGGCCATGAAGATGCTACTGAGAAGATTACATCATTAAACAACATATATTCACGAGGATAACTATTTAACCGTCTTATTTTTTTTTTCCCTCAAAAGTTATCATTCACTCTATATTAGTTTGGAATAGTCATAAAGAAAATTAAAACCGTTTACTTTATTTATATTCTATTGTTTGACAAGGGTAGGGCAACATGTAACATTTTTTAAATAAGTAGGAGCACATTCCTTATAGAAATGACCAATTTTTTCAAAGGAATTCCAGGATATTTGGTGGGCAATGAGGGGCCCGGGCCCACCGTAAATCGATCCGCCACTTCAAAAAATGATTCATCAATTAATTAGGCAGTCCTCTCAAGCCCAATAGCTGTGTGCCACAACCACCCCAAGAATAAGAGCAACTTCAATCCAACACTCAAAAGAAAGTAGAACTGGAAGTGTTCCACTCCGCAAAGCCAAAACAACTACCATTACCAGTTACCATAGACCTTGAAAATGCTTGAGGGAGAGAGAGAGAGAGAGAGAGAGAAGTTGCACTCTTATTAGAGGCGGCCGGGCGGTGAGCGCAACCAACTTACCCTTATTTTCTCCTTTCACCAACCATAGACTAAGAAGATGCCTCGATTCAACAAGCAAAAAGTACGGCAAGGCAATTACCAAGGGGTCAACTAGCTAGCGTTTTCCTTTTCTCTTTTTCCTTTTAAAGCCGGCAACTTGAAAAAGTCGTGGAATAAGACTTTGAAGCATCCACCCAATTATTAAATTCACAATTTCTTTTTTCTCTTTGCGTCTCTTTCATGAGTTACAGAAGTCTCCATTCAGTATGTCGAATTTCATCTTTAATTAAATCCTCCACGCGATAAAAGTTTTGACTTTGATTTTCCATCGTCCGCTCGAACAAATGGATAGCAATTACTCTGTTACACTAATTATGACTACGTTTTTGCCGAGTAAGTTTTTTTGTGTTTTTCTAAAACTTTAATATATAAAAGTCGTCGTAAAAATTTTAAGATAGAAAACCTTTTTTTTTTATTTTTTCTCTTCTTCTTCTCCTTTCCCCCGCCATCTCTCTTTAGCTGCCGGAACCAAGCACCAACCGAAACTTTTTTTTTTCTTTTTTCTCTCTCCCCCTCTCCTCCCCCTCCCTCTAATACGATCTGGTCTTGCGACCAGATCGGACAAACGAGAAGGGAGAGGGGGAAAGGGATGAGACGGGGAGAGACAGAGGGAGAAGAGAAAGAAAAAAAAGAAAAGAGCTGGCCGGGGGCGACAGAGGTGGTGGTGGGTTGAGTTGGAAGAAGAAAGGAGGAAGGGAAATTTTTTTGTTGTATTTTTAGTATTTTGAGATGTATAATTTAAATTTTTTTTAACATTACTGTAGTTAAAGTTATTAAAAAACTGGTAGGAAACGAATTTGGGTAAAAACTGATTTGTCAAACAGGAATATTAGCTTCTAACATTTTGTTATCTTAAAATAATAGTGCTAAAACATGCGTACGTATTGCTTTCCTTCTAATGCAGTAGACAACTCTCTGTAGTCTGTTGTACTAATCTCATCTCGTGCCAATAAGCTCTTATTCTTGCTGTCTTAAAATTAATGGTATTTAGTTAGAATGAGTTAGTACTTGTAGTAGTACTGTTCGTTTGGGTTGCTACTTCCTCTTCCGTCCCCCCATTTTACTTATCATGGTTAACTTTACATACAATTTTTTTAAGAAAAATGTATTGTAACAATTTAATGTATATGAAATAGAAAGGTAATTAAAAAAATATATGTTCATGAAAAAAAAAAATTTCGGTAGAAAACCTCAATCCAATTCCAACGTGATCAACAGTATTCACCATCTCTTTAAGTTTTGACTGTGGAAAAAGATTTTGACTGGCACACTACCAAGGACCAAAGTTGAAGAAGCCGGTGTGCGCACGTTATAAATGCTCATTCTGTCCGACATAAAAATGGTACTAGTAAAAACCTCCCGGCCGAGCACTTCAACATACATATATACATACAACTACCAGTACAGGAAGTTTGCACTAAGAGGATGTTTCCTTGACTGGGCCAAAATCTCCGTGCTTCACGTGCGAATGGTCTTTCATGCATGGAAATTGACTAGAAATTTAGCCAAACGACTCAACAGTGAGGCTGATATGACTGCCTCTTGTGTTTGTGGGTGTGTGTGGGTATACATACATATATATATATTTATTAAAAAAAAAATTGAAGCTTCCGTCCAGCTTCCTTAAAAATTGCACGTTTCGTCCACTTCTTCTTACAACAGTTAGATAATGTGGGATTTTGTTTCATCTTTGTGGACCATTATGTGCTATGGTTCTGAGGGACAAGGAAAAGGAAAAAGAAACAAAAAGCGTTTCGTCTTTTCATCGGAGATTGGAGTGAGACGACTTGTGTTTGTGTACTTGCTTCTACTGTGTGTGCGTGTGCGTGTATGCCGGGGACCTAACTGTCGGTTGGAGGTACCAAGTGGCATACAATTTTGTTTTTCCCTGTTGCTAAGAGGCTCATGTGTAGTCATTTTAGCTCTAGTCGTCGTCTTCTTCTTGTTCTACGTACAACAACAAATTCTTGGAAGAACCGAATAAACCAAGTTTCATTCACCCGACTTATAAAGCAAAATAATCCTCGAAAATTATAATGAGATTATTGTGTTCTAAAACCTCATGCAAAAGCAAGTAGTAAACTACCTCATTCGAAGTTTGAGTCCACAGAATATTGAAGATATAATATTGATATACAGACAGATTCAAGAGAAATGTTTACATTTAACAATCCACATGCCTAAGCTGCCCTTCTCTTGGGTGATGGGCATATGTCCCTTTATGCTCAATTTTTCGTGTGGGGATCGATAGAATCTTTTTAGTATTTCTTGATCAGCTACTTTTTTTTTTTTTTTTGTGAAAATTGTGATAACAGATGTTATGGTGAAACTTAAGTTGCACATTTTTGCCTTCTCCATCCATATACGTCCCGAAACCAAAGTTGCTAAACAAGTGCATGACACCATTATTAATTTTGAAAACTCATTTTACACAAGCCCTACATAACCCAACAAGGCAAAAACATGCATTAA